CCCACCTGACCCCCCCCCACACACGCTGCTCCCCGGGCAGCACAGGGCCTCTGCCCGCAGCGGTGCCGCTCAGCCCTGCCGAGAGCAGCCCGGAGGGCACAGCCGAGCCTGAGAGCTGCCCCGCAGCAGCCGGGCCCGCGCCCGAGAGCGATGGGAGTGGGGGCAGGAAGGGATGGGGTTTGCCAAGCGCCGAGAGGCTTTTCCAGGGAAGATGCTCCTTGCAAAGTGCGAAATAGTGTTCGTGCTGGCCTGGCCCCAGGAGGCAGCGTTCCGTAAGAGCGGATCTCTATCCCTAACTGCTGGTGATAAATAATAAAACACTGCATTTTTCTTCTCCCTGCATTCTCAGCCCCCTCCAGCAGCTGTTTCTGGAGCAGTGGCCTATTTCACCACATAGAATCACAGAATGGTTTGGGTGGGAACATGGTAGGGTCCGGCCACCAAGCTACCAAGGGGTGGTCCAGGGGGGTCTCCGTGTCCCCTCCCTGATGCCCCCATGGCGCTCGCACCCAGGTCCTGAGCAACAGCAACCAGCTGTACCTGAAGTCCGTCACGCAAGCCGACGCGGGGCAGTACGTCTGCAAAGCCATCGTCCCCCGCATCGGTGTGGGCGAGCGCGAGGTCACCCTCTTCGTCAACGGTGAGTGTCCCCCTCCAGTGCCAGACGCTGATCCAGGAGGGGTTGGTGCGGTCGCGATGCCCATGACAAGCGGTGCCTGTGGCACAGTGTGTCCCCCTCCCCAACCTGGGGGTTCGGTCAAGCCCCCCCTTGCCTCCTGCAGGACCCCCCATCATCTCAAGTGAGGCCGTGCAGTATGCGGTGCGCGGGGATCGCGGCAAGGTGGAGTGTTTCATTCCTTTCCTCTGGGCCCCCTTGAAGCCCTGACCGGCCGCACTCAGCTCTGCCCGCAGCCTTCTCTTCTCCAGGCTGAACACCCCCAACTCTCCCAGCCTGGCCTCCTAGCAGAGGGGCTCCAGCCCTCAGAGCATTTTTGTAGCCCGCAAACCACAGGCACTTTCATGGGGCGGGGGGCACTTGCTGCCTGCAGGACCTGCTCACAGCAGCCCTTGGTGCTTCAACCGTGTTGCAACTCTTTCTGCGGAGCAAAAAGGTCTTCACTAGCATGAGTTCGGTTGCCTCTGCCCCTCGCAGAGGGTCAAAATTGGGACCCAGCCCTGATGCTGGCAGGTTGAGTTCTGGCAGTGGCTGTGGGGGGTGCAGGCACCCCCAGTTTATGCTACCTCATGGTTTGAAATGGTTGGTTTTCGGTCTCCAGCGCGTGCTGGAGGGAAGCAGGAGCTGGCATCAGCTTGCTGGGGGGTTGGTGCCCCCCAGCGCTGTGCTGGCCCTGGGTTCCTTCTTGTGCTTCGGGGCATGAGGTGGCAACACTGGGGGTGAGTCCCAGGCGCGCTGGGTGAGATCCTGCCCCTGCACCGGGGCAGGGCGGTAACGGGGCGGCTGCAGGGGGGGTATCCCATGGAATGGGGGCTGAAAGCAAGGCCCTGGGCTGCTGCAGCCCCATGGGACCTGCGAGATTACCTATGAAATAACAGGTTTTCTGTCTGCAGGAGCAGCTGTGACTGGCACTGGGTCCTTTCCTAAGGCCACACTTCCCTCTGCTGGAAGGTGCATCCTTCTCCATCCAGGAGATCCCATTCACTGGAAGCAGTGGGGAAACCCCTGAGCCCCCCAGAAATGGCTGTGGGCCAGGCAAGTTAAAAAATGCGGCGAAGCGAGGGGCGCAGCCTGGCTGGGC